AATAAAAAAGGATATTTTTTGTTTTTTTCCTTTTTTGGTTTGCATCACCGGCGCAAATAAGTAAATCGGCCCGAGACGACGTAACAGCACCTGCCAGAATTAAAGCAACATGATCCGGGGTAGCAATACATTTGTGTTTTGACATTTCATATTGTAAATATTTTTTTTACTAGTTCACCTGACGGCGAGACACATGAAACGGAATTAAATTTACTTGCATATGTTTCTTGGAAAGGGAAACCATACTTCGGGCTTTGACGTTAATTATTTATTGTTTACCGAATTCAGCAGCCCTGATATAACATATGATTAAATTTATTTACATATCATACGTTTCTGATCAGGGCTAGATCAGGGCTGAGTCTAATTAAATAATAAACTTGGAAGCCGGGTTTTCCCTTGGCGTCATCCATGTATGATAAAGATCGGTGTTTACGTCAGAAGGATCGGATAACCGCGTTATCAGTTAAACGACACGCGCTTCACGTTATATCCCAACGATAATCAACGGTAACAAGTACCTTAAAACTCGAAATAACTTTATTGCGCTAATCTGAGGTTGAAAAAGTGTGCGATGCTTATTTTTTGAGTTTTACGATATTTATTTTTAAATTGAAGCTCAGCTTATTCAGCCTAAACTATATATTTAAAATGTGAGCTAAGTCAAAAGTCTGCATCTCTAAATAGCGCCAATGTCCACTGAAAATAGCATGCTCGCCTCGATCTCTGCTACACTCTTTCGACTTTCAGCTTTGTTTTTCAAGTACTCTCTCGTTTAAATTGGTCATTCAATATTGAGTTATAAGCTTATCTCTTGCTTAAAAATCTAAAAACAAGAAAAGATAATCACTTTTTCAATATCAGCTAAGAATGAACTCTCGCTAATTTACGATCAATGTTAGGTTCATTGATATATATTTACTCTTTTTGGAATGATGCTTCTTTGTTAAGATGATTAAAATGATTAATTATAAATATTATAATAAATAAAAAAAAACTTTTCAATTAGTATTTATCTTTGAACTTATGACGTTAAGCTACACTGACCAAACAATCCATCTTTTTTCAGTTTGAAAAGTAAGCCCCACTACAATTTCATAAAAAAAAATATATTAAAAGTTCCGTTGCTTACTTATATCATAAATAAACATTACGTCTTTGACAAAATTATATATTTTCGGTAATCCTATTATAATATTTTATGGAAGATTAACGAATATATTTCATTTTACAAGAGAAACACGCTTAACATACAGACTTTCGTTTGTTAAACTTTGTTTGTAAACGTTCTTGATGGAATTTGGTGTATAAATGTCTTTTACTTAAAGTGTTACGTTTACAGAATGTGCAAAACGTTACAGTAAACCTAAAGTGAATCAACTGATTCAATTGATCTTGATTGTGCGTAAGCAAATAAGCCAATCATCATCGATAAATTTTGATATTTATTACATAGGTTTTTTTCTTTTAACGTTAACCAGCATTTCTTTTGTCTAAAATGACCCAGGAGACGAATCACCAACAGAATAGTCAGCCAAATCGCAGTCAGCCTTCTCCTCAGTTAGTTTCTCTTCTCCATGGCAAACTTAACACTTTAATAGGCAAATCATCTGGTTATATCGAAAATCTACCCGAAGATGTAAAACGTCGCATCCACGGTTTAAATTACTATCAATCTGAACATGCAAAACTGGAAGCAAAATTTCAGGAAGAGATCCTCGCATTAGAAAAGAAATATTTAAAACTCTATCAACCTTATTATGAAAAACGTTCGAAGGTTGTTCGTGGTGAGTGCGAACCAACGGAAGAAGAGATTGCGACTGGCGCGTCACTTTATGAACTTGAAAAGTCTGAAAGAGAAAAGGAAAAGCAGGCCCAAGAAGGTGATCCAACTATTGAAAAAAATAAAGATGTACAAGGGGATCCAACTACTGATGAAAGCAAAGAAGTCAAAGGAATTATTGAAGACTCCTGTAAGGGTATCCCTGAATTTTGGCTTACGGCCATGAAAAATTTAGTAACAATTTCAGATAACATTACTGAACGCGACGAAGAGGCATTAAAACATCTAAATGATATTCGCATCTCATATCTTGAAAATCCTGGCTTTCAGCTTGAGTTTGAATTTGAGGAAAACAAATTTTTCTCTAACACTCTTTTGGTAAAAACATATTACTATCAAGAAGAACCTGGGTATGGTGGTGATTATGTATATGATCATGCTGAA